AACATAGTCAGACTTGATAAACAAAACGAAACAAATTTTTGCAGTGACTGACTGGAAGTGTCATTAAATGCATTATGTCTTTTATTTGGTCTAAGTTCTTTAGTTTCCGCCATACAATTTGACCAGTATTCAACGATGCACCATTTGCCAATGTATCAATATGAGAATGGTATCTTGATATAGAAGCAATCTTTGTTGTTTGATACACATTATCTACATAAATTTAGGTAGAATATAGATGATAAAAAAAAAAGTAAATTATGAAATTAAGAATCTTATAAACCTCAAATTATTGGAAAAAACAATAGATCCCAAAATCTAATTAAATGGTCTAATACCTCAAATGTAAATAGATTACAGTACATAAATTAGTAGGATTTTTTTAATAATATATATATTTATTACAATTAGTGCCTGGATACTAAATAATGATTAGAATTTTTATGTCAATTTTGGATCCAAATTAACATTAGATATTATGTGAAATTAATGGGATAAGTAGCAATGTTACACCCTATAATAATGTTCAATATATTTATTTGGAACACTCATTACATGTCCAAAATTTGAGTTAATTTATTGATTGACGTTCTGTTACCAAATGTTAACACCATAGGTCGATTTGAACTAGAAATTTAGCGTGCTAGTGAAAGAATAAATAATGTGGGCTTATAACTAAAAAGAACAATGTGTATAACAAAATAAAATCTACTTATACTTTAGTTTAAATATTATACAAGTTGTATAAGGGAGAATGGAATAAACATGATAGAGATCACCGTTGATGCTGTGGAGCGTTGTGTTTTCCTCGTAAAACTAATCCGGAGCGAGGCACCCGAACATGTGTAGCAGTGGTGATAATGTTGATCTGGATGGCGGAGTTTCATAAACGATATGAAGGAATATCTATTCAGCTTCAACGAGTGCACTGTAAGTTGTGTAACGAGCGCAAAACGATACACGATATAATAGCGAGCACATGATGATTAACGCAACACGATGTAACACGACAAAAAATTTCTTACGTGAAAAATACTCTAGAGCAATGGTTTTAGTGTATAACCTAAAAAAGGTAAAGAGAACACGGTGCAAATACAACGTACGTGTTGCAGAAATGAGCAGCAATAAACAAAAGCGAGACTGTCCAACTGCAAGAGCTGATGACGCTGTTGCCGACCTGATGATGCGATGAGCAGTGTCACCAATCTCACCACTTATGCGTCGGTGGTACAAACGTTGTCACGGGAAAATACAGAACAGATTTAAAATTTTGCATTTGATTAAAGAAGTTTAATTTTTTTTTTTTTTTATCATGGTATTATATCACAATTTATACTTGATATTTTTGCAATTTATTTGAAAAAAAATTTGATTTTAATTTCTATGTTTTGTATACTTTTATGAATATTCTTCAATACAAGTGTAACTATTGAAACGCAATTAGTAAATATAATTCGAGATCAATGTTGAATCATTAGATAGGTCATATGTAATAAATGGAAAAAAATTATGTTCAGGAAATCTGAAAACATTTTCTTATTAATAATAAAAAATTTGCTTTATTTAGTTCAATGAAATGATTAAAACTAACATATTTTTATTACTTGCCCTGTCTAGGTCTCAATGTTATACTTAGTACAGACATTAGTCTTAAAAAAGATATCTTAAATGTAGCAAGATTAACTATATTTAAAGGAGTAATATATATTTAAATTTATTTAAGGAAAATTAATAATTATAATTGTTCTGTCATGTTTTGCTCTTAGAAACTTCAAGGTTAAAATATTATTATTTATTTTTATTTTTTTGTATATTTTATGTCCCAAAAGTCACATATCAACCAAATAATGGATATTATAATTATTAGAGTTGATAGAATGACTAACCTACATTCTCATTGCAATCATCCGTGGAAAACAATTTAAAATTTACTAGATAAACTGAGAAATAATACATTATTATAATCCAGAAAATGACAAGGAGCATAAGTGTTGGGATAACATAAATAATTATTACTAGTGTTGCAAGCTTTGCTATCAATTGTGAAAATTATTCTATTATGAGTCTGATAATAAGCTAATAATTATTAAAGATTATATTCTTTTAAATTATACATGTGTTATTCCTCATCTATTGTACTATTTTATGTTATATAACATTTGTTAAATTATCATCTATTTATAACTTTTGATTGGTTTATAGATTTGTTTGTACTTACATTTTTAAATTTTGTAATGTTCATATATTTTCTTTCTAAATCTGTAATATTTCTTTTATGCTCATTGTTTATTGAAATCAACCAAATACATCAGTGGAAAAAACCAAGATCAAAAAGTTTGAATTTTCATTAAAATTCAAATTATTGAATGTTAACAATATATATAAAACTTAAATTAGTATTTATTTAATAATTTATCTAAAAAATTTATTGCAATTTTGAAAGTATTACATGCCATTCAAACTTGAATACTAGCTATTCAGTTAAACTTAAATCTTCTTTTATAAATTTGTTTTTACCGTATGAATATAATCAAAACAATATATTTATTATTAAATAAAATGTATGATAAAATTAATTTCTTTAATATTTATCATATAATCATAGGCACAAATTGCAAAAACTATTTCAAGGAAGTTTTCTATAGTATTAATAATTTAAATAAAAACAATCGTATTAATAAGATATTTTACATAATAATGAAATCATTAGGGGCTATAAAAGTTTTTGCAGGATTATGTTCTGAAATGATCATTGATAGTGCCTAGGAACATAATTATTTGTTAGGTAATAATTTATCATGGATATTTTACTATTTATTTAATTAAAAAAACAGTAAGAACGCGATGGTAGAGTTTCAACCCCCTTCCCCCAGAAATATCAGAAAAAATGTTAAAAAAAATTACCCCACCAACAAGTTTAACAGTTATTTCAAAGATTACCATAAAAATAGTAAAAAATATGTATATATATTGTATATAAATATTATTATTTTATCAACATTTTGAAAGATTTAGTTGAATTATTAAACAAATTCGATTAATGGATATGTAAATAAGGAATAAATGGATATATAAATGAGAATAGATATTACAATATATTACTAATTATAATAAGATATTACTAATTTATGTGAAAATGCATTTAATTCTATCATTAAAAGTATTCATACCGAAAATAATCAAGTAATTTCTAATTAACTAAATAAACCAGATGATTAACTGGAAATTTTGAAAAATTATTAATAGCGAAGTTCTCAATATACTTACTCTGTTACATCTATAGGAATCAAAATAATAATGCTTTAGTTTATATTTATGAAACACAATTAAATATAATTGTTCTTATTAGTTTTAATTGTACCGATGATTGATTAATGAATTTAAGTCTTAATAACTTAAAATTCTTAGTAAGGTATAATTGTAATATTTAATGTTTTATCCAATAAAATAATAATATTATATTCTTTTAGTGGTCATCAATAGGAATTAAACATTATATTAATTTTAATTTTACATCATACTTTTTATATTTCTTTTATAGTATTTTAAATAACTATATAAATTGAGAAAATTTTTTTTATTTATTTATGTGATTTAAAAAAATATTATTTACAGCTATTTATAACTATTTTATTTAACAGAATTTAATAAACAAGCATTTGTCTGTCAAAAGTAGTTACAATAGTATATACTATATACCTATTATTTGAAATATGTTAGTATTAAGATGATATTGAAGGTGAGAAAATAAGGCTAAACCTACTTATTTGTTCTTAGCCAGGAAAAAAAAACCAATTTACTTATTTTTGCTATTCAATTATAAATTACATAATTAATTTTGTTTTAGGAAAAAAATCCATAGATACATTAAAGGACAAACCACTATCTTTGAACCAATTAACAAAACGATCTAGATAATTTTGGATATATTAATCAATAATATAACCATCTTGTAAATAGAGCTTCAAATCATCTGAGGGTTGGAATACAAATGTGACACAGAAGATCATGTCAAATATTATTAAACAGAGAAAGAAAACACTAAAAGGAACTGGTATCCACCTCAAGAAAAGAGATTATGCTTAAAATAAATTCGGTAATAAATTCCGAAGATTTATCATTGATTTTGATCATTAAGATATGAATTTAGTTATGATAGAAAAAAGATTCACCAGTTTCATTGAAATTTTTATATTCAACAGCAATCACTGCTGAACACTCAACTACTTAGTTATTAAATAGAAGATTATAAGTTGTAGTGGAGGATCATGGTGGTATTAAATATTACATAAATTATGTAAATTAATACTATAAATATAATTAACTCATAAATGTATTTAATAAATACTACATTGAAAACAAAAATATTTCTTTTCAATCAAAAATTTAAAAAATGATTCTATAATATATATAATATAAGACCAAATAAGTTACAACAGTTAACAATTAAAACAATCAAAAGTTGATAATTTTTGGTACATATTTAGTGCACTATTTATAAATATAATATCATATTAATAAAATAAATTGTCATTATGAATTAAAATAATGATACGTTTCATACAATATTTATGTTAACTAAAAAATCTTTAATTTTCTTTAAATACCATTAAATTTTTGATCAGTAAAATATAAATTTGTTGGTTTTATTGAAAAAATTGTTAACATTGATGTAAAGGAATTTAATATATATTAAATATTACCATCTTCTTAAGTTTATTCTTCTTTAGTTTAAGTTATCTTAAGTTTAAAAGAATCTGCCTTAAAATATAGGGTTGAGGATAGATTTTAAGAAAATAAAGTAATTGATTAGAATATAAGGAATATATATTTTTATATTACTCAAATAATTCCCATCAGTTATGATATAAAAATACAATTTATTAGTATTATTGATTTTCTTTATTTAAAAAAAAACATTTTATTTTAATATATTTAACATGTATAATATACAATGCATTATTATTTAGTATATTAAAATAATATTATATAAAAGTCATCTTAGCTATTATTAGTTTTATGATGAAAAATTATGCGGTTAGGATTTTTAATTTTAGGTATTGAAGTTGTTCCTATACTTAATTGTCTAGGAACAAATCTTAAAGTTCTTGAATCAAATGGAGTTGAATCTTTAATAACATTCTGAAATAAAAATAATATTTATCTAAAAAAATTGAGTACTTAGATTAGTAAGTCTTGAATATATAATTTTAGAACTAACAAATTTAACATTAACGCCAAAACCTAATTTTGCAAGTAACATTAAAAAGTAATCGTAAGCTTGCTTAAAAATTAAAGTTAATTTAAATTAATTATTCTTTTCTGTCAAATAGAAATTTATATAATATTAATGAACTTGAATGACTTACTTTAAATTAAAGTTATCTTTAATAAAAAAAATACAAACCAATTTATTTTGCATTGTTTCATAATTGGTGTTCAAAAGATTTGACTTTGGTACGATGTAAGAACATTTTAAACCACCTTCAAGCCATCGATTTTGTTTCTGGGAATAGGAATTACAGTTTCGCAACTGCTTAAAATAAAATATTAATATGGTTAATATATATGTCTTACTAACAAAATATAATTGTATACCTTTGAATGAGATGAAATGTTAGGATTATATTTTCCTAACTCAGAAGATAACTCTCTGAACAAAAAAAAAACACACATCCAATGAAATAAAAGTTTTAGTTCAAATCTAGTACATCGTTCATGAATAAATTTGAAAATTATTATGAATACTTATAATAAATAAATCTTACTTTTCATGGTTAACATCTAAAACAATTTTATTGATATGTTTTGTAACTTCTATTACTCTAGTTTGTAACTTGTATCTTGTTTGTTCTATGGTTTCAAGTTCAGGAGCATAGCAAACATGTAAAATGCCACCAAAGAAATTTTTTGTATCCATTTGTTTCTTACCAAATCTAAAATATTTTTTCTGTTATTCAAGATAACAATAACATTATTGTACTTTTTTTTAAATCACCTTGCAGCCTGTATTCGAGCAAATGTGACATGAAAACTATGAGTGAATTCTTCTTGATCTTCAAATTGCACTTGTCGAATATTTAATACATTTCCATAACGTTGACATAATTTTTTTACTTCATCATGCAAATCTATAGATGGTACACCTCTGATAATTAAATGCTGTGATTCATCATTCACCGTATAAACCTTAATATTAGAGTCAATTCAAGTTTTAGGAATTTTATTACATAAAAATACTAACTAAAAATATTTTTTATAGTAATAATGTATAAACTGTCACATTATTATAAAATATAAATAATTTCCATAGGAAAATCCTGTAGTCTCAATATAAATAATGGTTCATTATATCAAATCAAAATAAAAAATTTTGGAATTATTCATTAAATAATGTGTATAAGGGAAAACAATTATTATTTAAGGATACAATTAAAGGAGGCCTAACATCCATCCCAATACCTTAATCGCTGTTAGTTTTCGTCCCTGCCTATACTTAGGTCGATTTTCACAATAACTTAACATGTTGTGATGAGGATATGATTTCAAATTCACCACTTCTACCTGTTTAGACATTGTAGTTATACTTAAAATTTTAACAAACAGTAATTAATAAAAATTTTTAAACGACTCTAGTAACTTCTAAAACAAATGAAACAATTGTGAACATTGGCATACAAAGTAACAAATAGATACAGAAATCAAAAAAACAAAAAGTGTAAAATTTTCAATATTATATTTTCAATTTAATACATAGTACCACATAAATAGAGATAATAAAACACACTCATTGATGAATTCATATAATTTTATACTTAGAACAAGGAGCCTATACCAGTTTTTAAAGTGATAAGGATAAAAGTGATAGGACTGTGATATAGTATGGACACAGATGATTTATTCTATTCTGTGGTATAGACATTTTATAACGTCTTAATCTTTACTGTGTGTAAACGCTAGTACCTAATTGAGAATACTCAATATCTTTGCGTAGACTCTACGCCGTAGAGACCTACATTTGAATTCTGATTTTCAGTTGGTTTTATAACATAAAAATACACATTTTTATGATATTCTAATTTTTTTAACTTAATTAGACGGACGAACGCGTTAAAAACTTTTTCTTAAATGACAACCACCTATTTAAAACAAATCAAAATGGTAATGAATAAAAAATATAAGCATAAATCTACCTATAACTGATTATTTTTTAAATATAGAATAATATTTTATTTTAAATAATTTCAGTTGTGAATAAAAAATAATTATTCTTAATAGTTTAACTTGTGAACAAATTAACTATTCTGGGTATCTAATTTAATTTTTTATGTTCTAACTATCGAAAAAAAAGCATCTAAAATTTAAACTTTTTTTTATAAAAACAATTCATTCAAATATATCGAAACGAAATGAAATGTCTCTAACTAAATAACTAATATCGTAGTGATTTGTGGGAAAATCTATATTATTATCGTAATCCCGTATAACCTAACCAGGCAGATATCGCATCTGATATTAACGTTAATATCAGATACCTGTACAGCTATCTAAAAATAAAAAAGGAAATGTTGTTTTTGAATATCTATTTTTAGAAACCTGGTTTTCACAAATCTTCGGGCTTTGATTATAGAAGGCGGCAATATTTTTCCAACCAAATATTTTGAATAAAAATAAAATGTTCGAAAAAAAAAAAGTATTTAAAATACCCTTGAAACAACTTCGTTCTGAAAGTATTTAAAGAACTGAAAGATTATGAGTAAAGATTTTATAATTAAGACATAGGAGCAATTTCAATTTTTTACCTGGTGGGTGCTTGAAAAATGTATACCAAACATCCCGTAGTTTTGCCCCCATACCCTCTTAATCAACCTTACATTCATCCAGGGGTGTCATTTGGGGTGGAGCAGGGTGTGCAACAGCACCACTAACTTAAAAATGTTTGACAATTGGCCCGCCATTAATACTCCTATATGCCGTTATAATAAACTTATGCATTCAGTTTTCATATATACATATATAATAGTACCTATATATTTTTTTTAAGTTTTTTTTTTTTTAATTTTTGGTTTATCAGCTTTCTTATCAAATGTGTACGACCCGTAGAGTTGATTTAAGCATCTTAGTAAGGTACACTACACTTGTCGGTTCCTCCATAGATCAAACATCTATTGTGAATCTATGGTGCCTCCAAGCCTCCACGCGCTCGTCAACGATGCGTTATGGAATCATTTCATTTGTGCGAATTACTGTTTCGTCTTTCAACTGTTGTAACTTGTAACGTGTTTATTCGTATTTCGTTTCGTTTGCGAAATTTTTTTGTATAACTACAATAACATCTTAGAAATGGAATGAAATTTGTTGATTATACTCATTAATAAAAACTATTTTAACTATTTTCTAAATTTTCATAATTTTACATTTTGAATACTTTTTAAACGATTTTATAAAAATTTCATGAAATAAAACTATCAAATTTTTTAAGGCTGAAGTAAATAATGTATTGATGTACATTGTTTATATATATATATATATAATTGTATATCGATATTATTGTATGTATGATCAAAACGATTGACAAATTGATTATTTTTAAAATCATATCGGTTTCGTCATATTGCGATTATCAGATTCATCGTATTTACAATGCCTACAGATAAGATTATATATTAAACACAAAAAACAATGAAAAGTTCATTGAAAATTATAAAAAAAATACTGTATTTAAAATCATAAGTACTCGTATAATAAATGATTTACTGACTGGAGAGAGATAAACTGATAGTTTACCCGAAGATTTTACGTTAAGCGATTTAATTTATTTTAAGTACGCTCCAATCACATCAACCGACATAGAACGATGATTTTCGAAGTATAAAAACTTACTGGCTCCAAATCGAAAAACATTGGATTTTGAAAATTTAAAAAAAATTACTTACAGTTCAATGCAACAATATTTTTAAGTACATGTAAATATTTTTTTATATTTCATATATTCATCTTTATAAATTGTAACTAATGAGCATAGACACAACTAAAGCACAAATATTGGGAGTGCTGAAATTACGTAGCTCACACTAACCATCACACACACCTCCCAAGTACTATATCTCAATTTAGTCACTAAATGTACCATAGCAATTTATATACACTAATATTTTATTTTATAAATATAAATATTAATAAGCCTAACCTATATTATTTTATTTAGATCATACAGTAATAAGAAATACACAAATTAAAAAAATATTATACAATATATAACATATAATATTCATACTAGTATTATCTTGCAATGATTAGTGGAATATTTTTAAAGTATTTCTGACAATGTAATTAACTAATAGTCATAAACAATTAATCTTTTTAATAAAAGCATCAAATAAAAATAACTACATAAAATAAGAAAAACACTATTTTTGTATAATTTTTCAATTATTAATTTTTTATCTTTAGATTATTTAAAATGCAATTTTCGATATATCTTAATGTAATACTGCAATCAATTTTACTACTATCTACTACTACAACATCCATGCCCAATTTATTAATATCACGAAAAAATTATCACTAGGTACCAATAATTACAGAAAAACCGTAGGGTAGTAGAATTAATGAAAATATTAAAAAAAAACTCCACATCATGATCAAAAGTGAAAATTGTTAATTTAGAATAAAAAAAGATGAATACACGCTGTGTTAAAATCTTGCGAAGAAAGAAAAAACCAATCAAGACAAATCATATAAAATATATATATATATATATATATATATATGTTAAAGTAAAAGATGTTAAATTTATATTTACGTTATTAACTAGCAATTTACGTCAAGGGGCCTCACCACCACGTCTTTTTTTAACAAAAACTACTGTTTCTAATTCCAACTCTACGTGTCGAAAATTATCACGATTTTTATTTTGAAAAAATATTCGGATGCTCCGTAATATGTCTAAGGGAACGATCGAGCCACATTCTTAATTTTTGTAATTTGAATTGCAATAAATATTGTTGAAAATTCAAAAAAAATACAGAATTTCAAACTTAAATATTTAATTAAATAAATACAATTTTTAAAATGTGCTTCGATCGATCCTTCGTACATTTTACGGAGCATCCAAATATTTTATCAGAATGAAAATCGTGATAATTGTCCACACATAGTGTTGGAATTAGAAACGTATGTTGGAATGAAAAATAAACATTTTTTTGCGATCATGATATTATTTAATGACATGTGCGTGCGAGTGCGTGTGAGAGCCCCCCCGTACCGCTATCGCAACGCGTCTAGCTAAATAAACCTAAACAGTGTAATATAATTGGATACGTTATTTCGTGGTATCCTATAATAATGTTAGCAATTACTTATATTTCCAGATAATTTATACCAATAATAACTATACAAATTATTTTACACTGCGGACTATATTATTATTTTTAATATTATTAAATTTATTTATTTAAATTTATATAATATTTATTTTTATTATTATCATACTGTTTTATCATTTATTTTATTTCCATTTCTTTACGAACTACCTATGTATTGTAATTTAATCTGTATCACTATTCCCTATATTTTGTAAATAATATGTAATTGGGTTATCTAACCCATTTAATTAAATAAATAAAATTATACAATACCTACTTAAAACTCAGAATAGGGAAATTATGTCCCCAAAAAAAGGTCATAGTTACTTTTAAATTGCGGCCTGTATACTTTTAAAACAGGTATCTAAATGCTTTTGAATTTTAAATAACGATAGACGCAAAAATTGTATAACGTTTTAATTATGAATAACAATAAAAGCAAATATTGTATAACGTTTTATTCTGAATAACGATAAACACAAAAGTTGAATAACGTTTAAATTTTGAATAACGATAAACTCAAAATTTGTATAACGTTTTGATTGTAAATAACGTAAAACCAATTTTTTTTTTTTTAAATGCAATCCTTGATCTTGATATAATATACATTTTAAAATAAAACGCTTATTTACGTTTGAAATAAAGATATTTATTATTAATAAACCGATAAAAATCTATTTTAATTTATTTTCATACGTGATATATATTTATCATGAATTATACAAATGGAGATATAGATACCACATAAACAGACCATATCCTAAAGGTGCATATACATATACATATTAATAAATTATACTTAGAAGTTAAAAACATATATTATGATTAAAATGTACTTACGTAGATACTACGTAATAAAATAATATTTATAAATAATTCCAAATTTCAAAAATTAAATGTATGAAATATAGAATGAAATTATCAAATGAATCAATTAAAAATATGTTAAATAAATATTTTATTATAGAAATATTTCAATTCTATAATGATTATTGAATTATATTATTTGCTATGATGGATAAGTAGATAATAAATAATTAATTATTTTCGTAATCTATGAATTCAAGTATGATTATATATTTGTGATTTAAAGATTATGGAATAAAATAATTTTCGAGCATGAGTTATAAAAAGTATGAGTCACTCGTATTCTATAGTCATTACTAAGACTGGGATTTTAATGCTCTAAAAAATAGCAAAAATCCTTTAAAAATTGTATTTGTTGTAGTTTAAACATTATATTATAAAAATCATAATAACAAACATATTTAATTCATAAATATTATGATATTATACTATTATGATCGTCGTTGGGTTTTTTTAAATAGAAAAATTTCTTTCGAATATTTTAATTTTGTTCTATTTTGATAAAATAGGTTCGTGAGTCGGTATGATCGTATTTATGGTATTAGTTAATCAAGTAGATTGC